CCTCGTGTATAATTTGCTTAGTTTTCTTGATTGAAGTTCTGAAATTAAAGTTTAGGTACGGATTTTGTAGAGAATTTCACGACGCTTCTATTAAAAAAAGAACTTATTCTAGGGGACCTAAGGAACAGGAGTTAAAGTAAAAATACCGAGACCGGATTCACGGTTGATTTTTCTTTTTTGTGAAGCACATTTCTAAGCCTATAACATTCTTACTAGATGAGCTAACGGGGTTAATCAATAGTCATCTTGTAGAGCGTTTTTTACTGCATCGTTTCTTGATAGAGACAAATTTACAACCACTTGTTTCACTATAGAAAAATTTATTATTCAAATCGGGTCAGGACTTCCGGGCCACCCCTTACTAGCAAGTCAGTATGCAAATGATCAGTTAGGATATTTCTCTAGCAGATATCCCGAGAGATAGACGATATTCCCTTTCAACAAGTGTTCCGTCATAGCTTTTTCTGTTCCTTTACAGGGTGTCTGATATTTTCCTTTTTTGTTTTTCATACTAAGCCTTCATGAGAAAGATGGGCCAGTAAGTGTAACAGCGCGATCTAAGATAGAAATCAGAAAAAATTTATCCCATCAGCATGCAGAGTAAGAATAATACCTTCTAATAGTGTGTAAAAATATTATGAGTATATTTCACATCTGACAGGTATAGTCTTGGATCTTTTTTCTGGAATAATGTATATCATTTTGCAGTCTAGTAGAGATCTGCACATCTTTACTGTGAATTTAATAAGAAGAACACCGTGTAGATGAAGGAAACACCAGATATAATGGAAAGAAATCATAAAAATATGGGTATGAGCAGTATTCAAGTGATGATCAACATCAACTATAATGATGTGACTGTTTTTCCAGTATGTACACCTCCTAAGTAATACCTAAATTAGATAAGATGAAAATAAATGTTATCGATTCTTTATGATTGAGTAAATGCATGTGGATAAATGAACTAAAGGGATCAGTTACAAGATGCATTCACAAAGACAGTGAAGAAAAACGTGGGAATTCAACAAGTAGAAATAAAGTAAAATTCAAATTTTCACAATAGAAATTTACTTTGCTTTTTCTTATTTTACCAATCATTAAGAATTCTGATATCAATATTCGAGTGTGAATATTTTTTCTTTATTTTTTTCGAACTTTAGAAGTTTTTTCCATTACACATTACGGGTTCTTCCTGCCCATCTTTTAACTTTTATGTATTCTTAATTGCCCATTCGTCTACACAATGAACTGGCAGCATCAATCAGATGGTTTGCAACAAATCTTAACACTTTTACGTCAATCTCAGTCGCCAGATACTCAAATACAACGCCAAGTACAAGCACGTTTAGAAGAATTAAATCGTTATCCAGATTTTAATAATTATCTAGTTTATATTTTGACAAAGCTAACACAAGAAGAAGAAGCTACACGATCTTTGTCCGGTCTTATATTAAAAAATAATGCCCGGACACAATATGATCGATTTCCAGATGATGTTAAAACATATATTAAACAAGAATGTTTACAAGCAATTGGAGATAGATCAGCTCTTATTCGAGCAACAGTGGGAATTTTAATAACCACCATAGTTAGCAAAGGTTAATAAATAACTTTAATTTAGATCAACTATTTCTGATAGTGGTCTCGTGTTATGACCGTTTTATATAATTGTTCATGTTTCAGGTTCTTTGCAGCAGTGGCCATCTTTGTTAGAACATTTATATCTATGTTTGGATTCTCCTGATATTGATTTATGTGAAGGTGCATTTGGTGCACTACAAAAAATATGTGAAGATTCTGCTGATCAATTAAATTCTGACATGAGTCAACCATTAAATGTTTTAATTCCAAAATTTATCCAATTTTTCCTCCATTCACAACCAAAAATTCGTTCACATGCTATTGCGTGTGTGAATGAATTTATTACGCCACGTGCACAATCACTAATGGATAATATTGACAAATTTTTAGAAAATTTATTTCAATTAGGTAATTGATCAATAGCAGAAATTGTACATATGAATCACAGTTTATTATTTTTTTGTTTCTACAGCGAATGATACAGATGTTGATGTTCGAAAACATGTTTGTCGTGCATTAGTGATGTTAGTGGAGGTACGAATTGATCGTTTGATTCCTCATATGCAGCAGATTATCGAATATATGTTATTAACATCTCAAGATCAAGATGATACAGTGGCATTGGAAGCATGTGAATTTTGGTTAATTATTGCTGATCAACCCATTTGTCGTGACGTTATTCAACCTTATTTAGACAAATTATTACCTATTCTAGTCAAAAATATGAAATATTCCGAATTAGATATTGTTATTTTGAGGTAAGCACTTATATAAGCGAGATGTAAATAATCAGTCTATCTGAAATAAAAGAAGAATTAGGTAATACCAGGATAGAAAAGATGTCATCACGAGTGGTCTGATAAATAAGATATGATTGTTTAGAGGTGATGTGGACGAAGACGAACATATTCCGGATCGTATGGAGGATATTCGCCCTCGATTTCATCGCTCTCGAACACGACAACATGGTGGAAGTGGTGATCATACATCACTCTCACTATCGTCACCAAATTCCACGAATTCAACCAATCCATTGCAAAATTCTAATTCAATGACAGATACAAATAACAATAATACCGAACAGAATAATAATGACGAAGATGACGAAGATGATGATGACGACGACACAACAGGTAAACGAGAAGATTATAATTGCTACTTTACCAATAATTTGTATATTACAAGAAATAAATATATATATATCGTTTAGGGACGAGTTCTGATCAAGCAACTGAATGGAATTTACGTAAATGTTCAGCGGCTGCTCTCGATGTTCTATCTAACGTATTTCGTGAGATTATCTTACCTGTATTGTTACCATTATTACGTGAAATGTTATTTCATCAAAATTGGGGAATTAAAGAATCGGGTATTCTTGTTTTGGGTGCAATAGCTGAAGGATGTTCATATAGTTTGACACCTCATCTGCCCGATCTAATTCAATATCTTATCACATGTCTTAATGATAAAAAGCCTCTAGTACGATCGATTACATGTTGGACACTCTCGAGATATTCATCCTGGATTGTACACAACGAAGTTCAGCAACAGAAATTTTTAATACCACTTATGTCAGAACTGTTGAAAAGAATTCTAGGTAACTGGATCAGTCATATGCTGCTAAAACGTTGTTTTTGACTAATCTAACTTTAAATTATGTGTACATAGGTTTATATACTTTGTCTTTTAGATGCAAATAAAAAAGTTCAAGAGGCCGCATGTTCTGCGTTTGCCACTTTGGAAGAAGAAGCGTGTATTCAAATGGTACCTTATTTGAAACAAATTCTAGAAACTCTTGTTCATGCATTTCGTAAATATCAAGCTAAAAATTTGTTGATACTATACGATGCGATTGGCACGTTAGCTGATAGTGTTGGCAATCATTTGAATCGCACTGAATATATTCAAATTTTAATGCCACCACTTATTGAACGATGGAATTCATTAGCAAATGATGATAAAGATTTATTTCCATTGCTGGAATGTTTATCATCAATTGCCACAGCACTACAACAAGGTTTTTTACCCTACTGTGAACCAGTATTTGTCAGATGTATTCTACTTGTTCAACAAACGATTGAATCCACAACGATGGCACAAGGAACAGCTCAAACAACAGAACAATCAGATAAAGATTTTATGATTGTAGCATTAGATCTATTATCTGGTTTAGCAGAAGGATTAGGTGAGGAAGATGTCATTGTGCAACTCAGGAACAATCAAACACTTGGATATCTTGGTTTTTAGGTTCAAATATTGAACAGTTAGTGGAACAATCTAATTTGTTAACATTATTAGAACGTTGTGTACAAGATCCAATGGCTGAAGTTCGACAAAGTTCATTTGCTCTTTTGGGCGATTTAACAAAAGCGTGTTTTCGTAATGTTCGCTCGCATTTATCATTTTTTCTTCCAGTTCTCACACAAAACTTGAATCCGCATCATGTTAGTGTATGTAACAATGCAATATGGGCCATCGGAGAAATATCGCTAGAAATTGGACAAGAAATTCAACCTTATGTACCACATATTCTAGATCAATTAATAACAATTATAAACAGGTCAAATACACCAAAGACATTGTTAGAAAACACAGCCATCACTATTGGACGATTAGGTCAGACGATTTACAACTAAATTTTATGCTTGATTCTTACGTTTCCATGTTGATTTTGTAGGCTTAGTATGTTCTCAATCTGTCGCTGCTGATTTGCAACGTTTTATTCGACCGTGGTGTGTTGCATTGCGTAACATTCGCGATAATGATGAGAAAGATTCAGCATTTCGTGGCATTTGTAATATGATTATGCTAAACCCATTAGGCGTGGCAAATGACTTTATTTACGTGTGTGATGCTATTGCATCGTGGGATAAACCACCGCCAGAGCTACATCAAAAATTTCAACAAATTTTATTAACATTTAAACAAGAATTTGGACAAGATCAATGGCAACAATTTACAGATAGGTTTCCTATCTCACTTAAACAACGTTTACAAACACAATACGGGATTTGAACCACTATAACAGTTTTTTTGTGCTTTATAGTGTACTCCTTTTCCATTGTGTTCTTAGTTCGAGTTGCTTAAAGCAAGTATCCCGAAGTTTCATCCTATACTTAACCTGAAAGAACTAATTATTTTATGGTTTCAAAGTCTTATTCGAACAGAGTCCTGTTGGTTAGATATCAAGTTTTGTTTACTTCCTTAAAGAGAATTCGCTTATTTGGTGTGATAAAACGGCAAAAATCATTTTCTATGTGTCTTTTTAATGTTGCAGTTTCATATGTCTTAAGACCTATGAATTGATATTTCGTGTAAACATACTGTAGCTATGTAATGATTTCCACTTTCATTACTTTTCAAAAACCGTGAAAACTCTTTTTAGACAACATTTTTCCTTTTTGTCTTCATTTACATCCCTCTTCGGCTGCGAATTTCAATTGTTTATCGCTACCTTTCGAAATGTACAACCATCAACATACATTGGAGGTTTAAGGTGGTTTTTCTTAGTCAAAAAAATAAGAGTATATTTATCTCTTTTTTTTTCTCATTCTGCTTCGCAAATGGTGATAATTTTTTTTTTTCTTCATCTTGTTATTGTTGTTGTATAATTTCTCTTTTTATCTGTCTATCCCTATCTAGTATATGAACAGAATACAACAATAATCTACTTTTTTGGTTAGTCTAACTACCTACGTCAAAACAGACTCATTCGGTCTCAAGTTATCTTTTGTTTTTTTTTAACGTACCTTTTTTTAGATAACTAAACAAAAACGTTGTTGTTCTTCTTTTATTGAATGACCAATTGTATGAGTGTCTGTGTATATCGTGTTGTCTTGCATGAAGTTATTTGATGACCTCTTTTGTTGTTTGTTTGTTTTTTGACGTATACATACATGCTTAAACATACACCATATAGATATTTTATTTTTGCTGGTTTACTTTGTTTTTTGATCACTAAAAACAAAAAATATATGATGATTTTTTTTTGTGTTAGTAGGATAAAAAAAGAACGAAAAGAAATAATCATACTAAAAAAGAATAGTATCTTATATTTTTTGTACGTACACTGCAAAAATAGAACACTATCTTTTTTTAGAAATAATACTCAGTAGATTTAAGCATAATCCAATCACCGAGTTTTTATTATTTTACTTTAAATGTCATCATCACGTTTAATTGCCCTCTGGTCATCCATTTTAGGAGTAAATATTTCACTATTAGTTAGACGTACTCAAGTGAAAAGCAATCGTGTAACAGGAATAGTTACGGTATTAACTCGAATAGTATATGAGAATATTATTACATGCGGTCTTTTTAAAAGAAACGCTTCCTTCAAATGATGTATTTCGATATTAACAGACCATTTATTCTGGTTTTGTTTATTTTAGATCATCTTTCGGGATTCGATCGATTTTTGTTAATCGCGACAAAGAGAAAAGCATGGATTTTGTTACTGTTCTGTTGTGTTTTTTGTTATTTTTTATTATTATTATGTTTGTTTTGGGTGGTATGACCTATTTCATATGGAAATCGAGTTCTCAAATAATCGAAAATAATCTACAAGATCCTACTAGTCAATCTCAAACAACAAATCAACGTTATAATCGAAATAAACAGCGAAGCGCAAGTAAGAAAAAGGCAGTAGCTTCGACCACAACAACAGCGGTAGCGGCCAAAAGAAAAGAAAAGAAAAAAGCAATGAAAAAATTGCAACAACAGCAAGCAGCGATCGAAGAGCAAACGCCTACAGGTTCATCAAACGGTAGTAGCAGCGAGCAAGAAGAGGAAGAAGAAGAAAAACCACAACAACAGTCAGAGTCAATAGCCGCTAAAACTCGTCAGAAAACAAAATCAATCGAAGACAAGAAAGACATTAATATGCCACCAGTACAGCAAACACTACCGAAAAAACCTCAAGCCAGTGTCGCTCCAACAAAACATGTCGCTGCACAAGCAAAACCAATTCAACAGAGTGAGAATAGACCAGTGCAACAGCAGGTCAAACAAAATGATACCAAGCCTCAAAAAAATCAGTTTTTACCAACATCTCAACAACTACTTGCGAATAAAACGCAAAACAATCAAGGATATGTAGCGCCGCATATATTAGTTCCGAGCAATCAGCCCCAAAGTAAGCGAATATCGATTTGCGCATATTTTACAAGAAAATGAGGATTTTCACAGATGTACTGTCTGTCTAAAAAGTCGATGCATGTGGTCGTTTTGCGAATAACTTTTGATAGAAATGAGGTAGAGATAGTCTATTTTCATCATTCGATACCAAAAAAAAACAGTTAAGTTTTGAAAAAGTTTTCTAGAAATGTGTTTTTTTCATTGAACCACGTATCCCGATTTTGGGTATCGAATGGTGAAAATAGAATGTCTCTATCTCGTTACGCATGGACTTTTTGGATAGACAGTAGTATACACTAGTAACTGAAAGATAGAGACTAGGCGTTTTCCACTAATCTGATTTCATACGATCGATCGCGCTAACGATACAAAATCAAGTCTTTGAAAGATTTAAACTACAGCTATGGTTTATTCGTGCGCTATCAAACGTGCAGTAGTTTTGATACAAGATTCATATAAAATGCAGTGGAATAAAGTTTCGCCTCATTTTTTCTCTGGAAGATCTTGCTTACGTTTCGCAAACGTTGATTAAAAATAGATTTGATTTTTCTGTTCTTAGTTGTTCCACCATCCCAAAGTCCGACGATAAGCAAGCCTAATACGGTACAACAAGATCAAACACATCAACGTTTACCTCCTCGTCAGCAACGTTCAGCAAATATTCAATCACTGCCTCAACAGCAACAAGAACAGCAACGAAATTTCGATCAACGGCTCGTGATTGGTTCACGTGTAAATGGCTTCGCACAGAGCGAACAAGTAGCTCGTATTCAAGCATCATCTTCTCCGTCTCCACAACAACAACAAAGAAGTTCAATTAACGAAAATCAATCACAACGCCAATCGGCACCTGTGCAACAAGTATCAACAGCTCGTGTTCAAGCATCATCTTCTCCGTCTCCACAACAACAGCAACAACAACAACAACAACAAAGAAGTTCAATTAACGAAAATCAATCACAACGTCAATCGGCACCTGTGCAACAAGTACCAACAGATCGTGTTCAATCACCACCACAACAAGACAAATCACAAATAAATGGATTTGTACAACAACATCAAACTCAAGAGCCTCAAAACGCAGATAGTAGGCCTTCTGAATGTTTTTATCTGTTATCAGCACTTTTTTTGCACTTTAGCCACTCAGAAGGTTCAATCACTACCACCACCCCAACCAGTCCCGCCTCATGTACCCGCACTTAAAGTGGAAATTCCATCATCTTCTCCCTCCGTTGTTGCTACTCTTCAACCAAAAATTATTGATCTCGTTAAATCACTGCCATCTACGCAAGCTCTCATTACGGAATTAATGCTAATATTTGATTCAGCGTCATTATCGTATGATGAACTCGAATTAATCATGTACAAAATCGCCAATAAACAATGTCTGCTAAAACACGACTGGAATCGCCTGTTCGAAAAAGGTCAAAAAGTTGATCCACGTGAGCATATCAATTCAATTATATCTGATACCTTAAAAAATGAAATGACACTCGTCACGAAAGAACTGCAGCAAGAAAAAAAGAAGACACAAGAGTTGTCCAAACAATTACAAGATAAAGAACAGTTATTGAGGTAAGAAATAGCAGGTCGTGAACTTTAAGAATGATTATCTCCTACTTTTTTTGATTTTTTTACTTTTGATGTTATCTATTATAGACGTTATTCATCTCAACCACCGACCGATTTTGTTCCTCCTGGTCAACATCAAAATCAATTAATTGGTCTTCAATTACAAATACGACATTTACAAGACGAAAATCAACAGTTACATCATCAAATCAATCAGTTTCTCCTTCATCCACCACCACAACCTCATTACGAACCTCAATATAGTGGTCAACAGCCATCAAATGAAAATTTAAAACAACAAATAACTATATTAACAAAGCAACTGCAACAATTAACGATTAAAAATGTCACTTTAGAAAGAGAATTCACAAATTATGACCGAAGTAACAAGAATATGACGGAATCACTGAAAAAAGGTAAAGTGTCATTAGCGAGAAGTTAAAATTTTGGTTTTTTGAATGATCGACTGAAAGTTTCAAGTAAACTTGTGTGCTAGTGTTTTCAAGTCTTATGCTGAAATTCTGGATGTTAAAAAAATAAATAGATAGTACCATATATTGGCAGATCAAAATTTTTCAAAACAAAAAATCATACGAGAAATAAAAGTTCGTTAGATCTCATTTAAGGTTACTGTAGTTAGATACTGACGCTCTTTCTTGATACAGACGAAGATAAATGTTTTTGCATTTAAACGAGGTACAAAAAGGATGTTTTTGAGTATGGACTATTAAGAATAAATTCATTACTCTAATGATGTATTTTGACTTTCAGCCGATAATTTGAAACAACAACGTATTGATCAATTATTAAATGATTTGAATAAATTTAAAAATAGTGAACAAACTATATCACAATTAAAACAAGATTATGATCAATTGCAAACAAAATATAATCAATTACAAGATAAACAAAGTCCATTAGATGACGAACAAACATTATCATCATCATTATTAAATGAATCTGAACAATTAAAACAAAAAGAGCAAGAATATGCTGATCTCGAAGCAAAATATCAAGCATTAAAACAAACTTTAACTGACTTAGAAGAGAAACAAAAACAGCAACAACCTCATGTTGAAATAGCTCAAATTCAAAATCAACTGCGTCATGAACAAGAATTAATTGAACAACTGAAATTAAATCATGTAGAATTAGAAAAGCAGTATGAATTACTCAAACAAAATGCGGTTGTAAGCGATGAATTACGACAAAAACAAGAGACAATCGAACAATTAACACAGGAAAATAAACGGTTAAAACATGAACTAGGTAACAAATCTTCAACAAATTTGCGTTATTTAACTCTTCAGAAGGTTAAAATTTAAGGATCTCTCATTAAAAAGATGTATCATTCTGGAACTATTTTGAAACTTTTGAACTGTTTATATTATCATTGGTTACTATTCGTGGTTAGTAATTTTTTATTTGATCTAAACACCTTCGAATTCAACAATGTGACGTTTGAGAACATGTGGATGTAGGTGTTGCACGAGTGTTTATCCTCTGTTTGAACTGTAAAAATGGCACGTGCATCCGGAAAAAAGGTTTTTCGAGTACAGACCAGATGCTCAAGTCAGAAATGTGGAATAAAAATTCCACAATACGGAAAATTGCAGAAAATTTTTGTCAGAATGAGGAAAAAAATGAAAATGCATTTTCATAGTCTAACTTCATCCTTTTTCACGCGCAGAGTCAAAAAAATGTTTTCTCTAACACGTTATGGTTTTACTCAATAAAACACAAGAGAACAGCAAACAGAAATGTAAATCTCTATTTTAATTGGCACATTGTTTTGGGACTGTATATTTTTTATTAGAATGAGTAAGTTTAAGCAGTTCTGGCATTGACAAAAAATAGTTTTAAATTCAGTGCATGATAACGATGAGTTTAAACGAATTTTTAACTCAGAGGAGAAATAGCAAAAGTAGAAAATGCGGACAAATTGTGAAAAAACCTCAAAACTCCGGAAATTACTCCCAAAATGTCCATCTAGCAACTCCGGTACAAACGCTGAATTCTAAAGTATCTAGATTAAATGAAAAAACATGGCTAAAGTTGAAATATTCACAATAGGTCATTAAATTATGTTTTAGCAAATTAGACGATGTTTTGTTGCTTCTGAATGTACATAGTAACTTTTTTAAAAAATGAAATTATATTATCAAAATCATGCTCATAAACTTTTTGGGATTAAAATAAAAAATTACTAACCACGAATAGTAACCGATGATAACATAAATAGTTCAAAAGTTTCAGAATAGTTTGAGAATTGAATGGTGTAATTGAAAAACGCACCAAAATGAGAGCGAGACGCAATCATATGAAATTTTTGCCTAATAGTTCTTGTATAACCTTTCTTCTTGCTAAAACATCATGAATGTTTGACTAAAAGGATAATTGATAGATAACTATAGATATTTTTTCCTTTAGACCTTTGTAACGAACAAGAGATGAATTTTCAAAAACTTCAAGAAGAGCTAGAAAAACAAAGAGAATTACGAAAACGAAGTTCATCTGAATTAGAAACTATTCATGTTCAACTGAAAGAAAAACAAGAACATATTGAAAATTTACAATCGAAATTTTCTGAATTAGAGAGCGAAAATAAACAAATAAAACAACAACTCGATGATCAAAAACAACTATCTCAACAAGAAAATGGTGTTAATATTGTTAACAATCATCAGTCAAATGAAGAAAACGATAATTTATTAAAACAGATACAATTGTTAACATTGGAATTAGATGAATTAAAACAAAAAAATGATACGTTAAGAAAACGTAATTGGAAAATAATGGATGAATTAAATTCAGCTGAAAAATTATTAGCAGAACAAAAAACAAATGAATAGAGGAAGAGAGAGAGTGAGTGTGTTGTGTGTGTGTGTGCGTGCATATGTTTATTGTTATTTTATTCTTCACGTTGTTATGATTATTATACTTTGAGCATTTATTTGATATTTATCGTGATTATTTTTTCTCCTTTTACATTGGTGAATAATATGTGCGTTATTTTAAAACGACAAAAAATTTTGTGAAAAGTTGATGTTTACTTAGTCCAATGATGATGATTACTTTAGTCCAGCATAACGTCAGTTAAGTTATCTGAATTCACACAAGTCAATCTAGAAATATTAGCACACATATGCACGCAATTATATGTTATAATTTTTTTTTGTTTTTAGTTGGACTGCAGTAACTTTTAAAGTCGTTGTTTCGTATAGTAAATGTATGAAATTAATCTTCTTTTTTTAATATGATATTTGGGTAGTTAGACTCCTTTTTTTTTCCAATGATCTCATTTTTTTTGTTTTTCCTCTTGTTCTCATTTTTTGTGGGGAATGTTACTTGTGAATGGAATAAAGAAGTTGGAATTTAGTCTAATTAGTATATATATTTCGTATTTATTATTGTTATTAATTTTCGAGGGGAATCTTATTATTTTTTTTTTTTTTTTTTTTTTTATTTTTTTAAAAAAAATAGGGGAAACATCTCTATTTTTTTTTTTTTTTTTGCGTTTTTTTTTTAAAATCAGATTTAATTTTTTAAGTTTTCTGTTATTTACTATTAAAAATCTCAAACCCATTCAAATAATAATGGAAATAAACTATGGTGCAATATATATATTTATTTCTTCTTTTATTCTGCGATATGTGAGGGTGAGATACATTACAAAGATTCTATAATGTTCTAAAATCCTTTTCTTCTTTATTGAAATATCTATCATAAAGTAGGAATACATTATGTGGTTGAAAATAACAGCTCTCGAACAATAGATGTCTAAAATGGTACAGTTATCAAAATATGTTGATATATTTAATGTTTTGTACGGAGAGTGTTAACGATTCTGTTGCAAAAAATTCAGAAAAACAAGTTTGTAAGAACCATCTTTCTTTTGCAGTACATCAGCTGTGACCATCCTATTTTACCAAATATTCTCATTAAATAAAAACAAACAAACATCAACGATCTAAAGGAGTATTTCATTTACTAATCCTACTAAAAATTGGATTTACAGTGTACAAACAGTGTTTTCTAATCATTTGATAGTATCAACTCTTCTTTATTCGTTACTTTTTTTTTCTAGATTATTCACTACCCCTTATCTATTCTTTTTTAATGGCATTTGGTTTTCTTTGTATTCTTCTCATTTTCTTTTCTTTTCAAACTGTTATTGGTAATAATCAATTTAATTCTTTATCACCAACGTCCATTCTCCATCTTTCGGCAAATAATTTTTCACAGTTTACGAGAGAGCATATTACATTTGTTAAATTTTACGCAAATTGGTAGGTACATCTAATTGTTTCTCATTTTCTACGATTATTTCAACTTCTTTTTCTTCTAATTTTTATCTAGGTGTGAACATTCGAAAAAATTTTTACCAGTATGGGAATTGTATGCCGAAAGACAGAAGGAAAATAATGTAGACGTTAAAGTAGCAAAAGTAAGATATTATTTATTGAAAAAAAAATGTAGAGTTTAAAAACATTTAATATCTGGTATAATTCGCTTTTAATTGCGATTTGTTTTTAATTCATAGATCAAAATTAATAAATAGATTATATATCATTTTTTTTTATACGATAGGTTGATTGTAATAAAGAACCTTTACTCTGTTCCGAACATGATATCTATGGTTATCCAACGTAAGTTATCTACAAATGACTATTGATCAAAATTCAATACATCTTTTCTATTTTTCCTATGTTAGTTTAAAATTATTTATACGAGGTGCTGGTGCGCGCTATCTTGGTTCACGTGTAGTAGAAAATTTGGAAAAATTTTATGATGAAAAAATAGCTGAAAATAATGGGGTAAGTAGATGAAAAACAGTTTTTTATAAGTTTGTACCATTTCATGTCTATTCGTATTATAGATTATAAAATCTGAAGAACTTTTGGCTAATAGACAAACATTGGTTGATTTAAAATCAGCTACGTTCGAAAATGCTATCGGTCATGGTTCTTATTTTATTAAATTTTTTGCACCATGGTGTGGTGAGTGATTCACTCTATCAGAAATGAGAGAGTTCAAATCATAGCTTGAGTTACATTTTCCCATGACTCAGCCGGGAACTAGCATTCAATACAAAAGACTCGATAAACTACACTCTAAAAAAAAAAAGTATCTTAAAAAACCCAAAAAGGTTTTTTATTCGACAAAAAACGTTTGAACGTTTTGGTTCCATTCCGAAAACACGAAAAAATGGTTTTTTAATTGTTGATAAAACCTTTGAGTTTCTTACAATACGTTCCGTAACTGTTTTCGAGACAATAAAAAAAACCAAAGCCTTAAAAAGTTTCTCATTTTCCGAATGAAACCTAAAAAGGATTTTTAACCATTTCTCAGAATAAATATTAAACCAAAGCCGTTTAATGCTTTCGCGTCTATAGGGTAGGGTTTTTATGGAAATGAAAAAACGATTGAGTTTTATAAAATACTGTGTAGGGTTTTTGAATTATTAACAGTTTTTTTTCAGTTTTCCGAAAACCATCTAATATTTATTTTAGTTTTCTCAAATAGAAAGCGTATTTCATAATACGGAGAACGATATTTCTTCTAGTTGAAAAAACCGAAAGTTAGAAATGCGTTTTTTCTTTGAAACTATTCTACAGGCAGACTCTTTTTAACAGTACTATTTCGAATTAAAATTGATGAAGCTCGATATGTTAACATTTCTCTTTTTCTACTTTTGTGTGTTGTGTTTGAGATTTAACACAGAAAGCGTTTGAAGTGATTTTTAGCATCAGTTCCGTTTTACTATACTAGACGATCAATGTGAGATGAAGAAACCGTTTGTTAAATAAGCTTTTCGAGAATGAAGTTATATAGAACTATAAAAACGCTTGTAAGTGTTTTAAAAAACGGTTAACGGGTATAACCATTTGGACCATATCATAACCGTTTCAACGTTTTCCACGAGAGGAAAAATCCTTGAAAAGTGTTTCGAGAAACGTTTAGACCGTTTTTAAAATACCCAGAGAGTTTTTATAGCAATAATTAAATCCATTTATCCGTGAAGAACGAATAAGCGTAATTCAATTACTAACCGTTTTTCACGGTTGACAAAAACCGTCAAACGTATTTTACAAAACGGTTAAACCGTTTTTCAAAAACGTTTCAAGGCTATAACCATTTGAACCATATCATAACCGTTTCAACATTTTTCACAGCTGAAAATACCCTTATTGATTTTTTAAAACGCGGTTAACCGTATTTTAAAACTCCAAAATCAGTTTTTCGGTCACAATAGAAACGGACAAACAGTTATGATATGATTCAAATGGTTATACTCTTTAAACGTTTTTCAAAATACCTTTTTTTAGAGTGTATCGCGAGTCACTTTCGTGTTAGTCATGTGAACATTTAGTTTATTATAAAGATATTTCTTATATTTGTTACAAATATGAATAGAAAACGTTAATAATATATAATACTTACTCTAAGATCCGTGTTATAACGAAAATAGGGAAGATAACATCTAGCAAAATGTTCAGCAGAATGAGTACAATAGATGCTTAAAACAACAGAATCTAAAAGATGTTCTTAGATAAATGAATCAGTAGGAATTTTATCTATAGAAAATGACTCGAGTACGTATTTTATGCGCCTCAAACTCGACTCAGGCTCGAATAAGTGATATCTCGATCATTTCTACGTTATATTAAACTATCATGTATTGAATGTTGAAATGTTCAACTCTCTGTTAAAATGTTCATTATTTTATAAATATTTTAGTTCATTGTCGAGAATTATTGCCAGTATGGCAACAATTAGCTAGTGAATTCGTTGATAATCTACATTTAACAATTGCAAAAGTAAGTAAACATATTTGATTCTCTTCAGTTTATAGTAGTTGTCCATTTTTTTGTTTTTTTATTAGGTTGATTGTACTGTTGAACAATTTATATGTAAAAAATATCGAATTACTCAATTTCCAACATTAATATGGTTTCAAAATGGTGTTGAGGTGCAGAGGTGGATTTTTTTTATTGTCATTTAACAGTGTAAATTTAAAGTCATTTTTTTTTCCTCCTAATTTTAGAAAGATCGCTATACAGATAGTCGAGATATAAATCGATTAAGAGACTATGTTCAAATAATGCTTAACTCACAATTACCAACAAGTACAGAAGAAACAACAACATTATCTCCAAGCGAAGATGATGAAGATGAAAAAGAAACTATTATCATGAAAGATGTCAAAGATGAATCAACAGAAAATGTAGAGGATAATGAAGATAAAGTATGAACGAAAAAGGAAAAAGCACTTCTTTTAAAAATCTCAAAATAATGTTGAAATAATAGATTTTTAAAGAAGAATTTTTTCTAAAACAGTTTGCTCAAAACGCGTTAAAGATGATCAGTTTTTCTTCTATCATGAACTATAAAATACATATCAAATTGACTATTGTAGATAATCTATGTTTAAACATTTTCTAGGTTCATATATTAAATGCTCAAACATTTACACAAGGTGTTAGTTTTGAAGGTTATGCATTTGTTAATTACTTTGCTCCATGGTAATTCAATTTTTTGATTATTTTTGGTCTTAAAGTTAATAAATTCATTGTTTTCTCATCACATTTTAGGTGTTCACATTGTATAAAACTGGCTCCCGTTTGGTCTCAATTAGCGAAAAAATTTTCAAAACATCCTGAAATTCGAATCTCAAAAGTAGACTGTACAGCAAATGAATTATTATGTCGTGATCATGGAGTTAGTATATAGTTCTAGTTTGATTTTAGCTATTTATTATTCAATGTCTTCTCATCTTTCTCATAAAATGTGACATTCAAACAACTAAATACATTTTTATATTTCATGTTTTGATGTTAAATACTGTCATATCTCAAAATATTTTCATTTAGATACGTGCATTTCCAACATTACTTTTTTATCGTTTTGGTGAACTTATTGTTGAATATAATTCATTTAAAGATTTAGATTCATTATATGATTTTGTTGTGAAACAAGTTGAATCAAATAATGATGAACATTTTCTCAACGAAGACAATGATGACATAGGCAATTAGCGAAACATTGTAGTGATAAAATTATTATTCTTGTTATTTTTTTATTTTTGTTAATAGTATTGTTGTTTTTTTCTATTATTTATTTTTCTGTTCTTTTTGTCCATACCGTTATTATTTTTGAATAATAATTCGAAAATATGCATAATCACATCGACGTTTTATTCTTACTAAAATAAAATATAAATCAGCAAATATATCAACATTTAGCAGATACTCAATGTCATAGAAAACAGCAGCAACAAAAAGAAAAAATGATATTTTTTCAGAGAAATCCTTCTCATAATCATTCGAATTCGTTAAACGTACATTTTATAGAGTTATAAAATGTTTTGCTTTATAGACTAAAGTTTTTTAGTTTAAGATTAGATTCAAAGAAAATTTTAGTAGTTCACGGTGTTTTTTAAACACTTCAAAAAAGGTTTTGAAAAATTCTTTTGTTATGGTTACTACGTCTAAATTACACGAAAAAGACAGAGTCAGATTGGTACCGACTACACACAGGTCGATTATACATTCTCATAAAATCAATACACATGAAGTGAAAATGAAAACGAAAATGGATACTTGAAATGATGAGTGATGTAGACTTTTCTCACATTTTTATACATAACAATTCAATTAAGATCGTTTATTTCATTATTAATGGAATTAAAATAATATTCAACTTTTTATATTCTATAGACAAATACTCTATCTATTAAGTAAAATAAAAGTTTGAATAAATGAATTTAAACTTGATTAATTTATTCAACAATGAGTTTTACAGACTCAAGATAAGTATAAATTACACCGTTATTCTTTTTTCAATGTATTAAACTCAAAATATGCTTATTCTAATGTATGATAATATCCGAGAATTTGTTAATACATGTTACATCTTCTGTGATGATGAGAGAGATAGTTTAATTATTTAATATATTTAATGAGTTTATTTATATTGACATGTGTTCGAAACTTCTCACCCATGCAGATGAAAAAAGTCGTTCGAGGGGTGCGGTGCGGCGAGTACTCGAAAATAGGCCCTCGTCGAGGGCTCGATCCATCGGAAAATGGCACTTCGGATCCTCGATATAAGCTTTCGTGGGGTACCGATTTTGAGCCCTCGAATAGAGATATTCGGGACTTCCGAGCCATCGCGCTCTCGAGGATGCAACGAGGGCTCGGAAATACCCCTCGAAAGCTTATATCGAGGGTCCGAAGTGCCATTTTCCGAGGGCTCGAGTCCTTGGCGAAGGCCCATCGAAAGCATATTTTTGAGCACTCGAAGTACCCCTCGAACAACTGGTTGGGCAGTTAATAGTTTTATTCACTACTAATTTTTCTTATAATAATTGTAAATTACCCTGATATTTTTTTAAATTTCTTTTCTGGCTTATACGTGAAAAATATATTTTTTACTCTGTCTAGCAGCAAAAAGATTGATTTGTTCAATTTCAGAAGTGTACTGGAAAAATAAGTATAACTAACGATATTAAACTTGTGTGATAGTTTATGTAAATGAAGAAACGAGATAAACTTTATTATTTACAAAGAATAAAATAAAAATGATAATGATAAAGTCAAGGTAAATATATCACAAAGATTATGGTTTGACCTGTTAACCGTCTCCCCCGTTTTTTTCTCTCTTTTAAAAAAGAAAATTATCAGTAAACTAAAAGATTTTTGAAAATTGTTAATAGTTCGTTTATTAAACTAAACATTTTTTTTACAAAATGTCTTGTTTCGCTACATCGTACGTTATGTCATTGTTGAGATACGTTGAGATATTTTAAAAATAGACCCAAATTGTTGATTTTGTTGTCTCAAAACCTAAAACATATGATAGAATTTTAATTTTGATCACTATTAAAAATCTGTTACGATTTTTTAATTTTGTAAAAATATTTTATCGAATACTATCGATGTAGTAGTACGTTATATTATATATTTTATGAAGTAATGTTTGCTCCAGTGGATGAACTATTGGCAAATTTTGAGAAACTTTTAATTTGATTGTAATCTGTTTTTCTTTTAAAAAAGAGGAAATCATTAATTAACTAATTGAACCGTTAGTTTATTACACAACTGTATCGTTGTTCAGTCAAGTTTTAACGAAAACTGGCTTCGCTTAGAATCGTAGAATACATGGATAGTTTTTTTGAAACAAAATTTGATCTGCAGTTTTATTAGATTAATAATAAAATCTATTGTTAAACAGACGTATACAAATGCCTTCGTCAAATGTTGGTTTATTGATCGGTGACATTGGTGGAACAAATGCCCGTCTACAATTATGGTCCATATATCCCTCCCTTCACAATGTTTTTCGTTCTACTTATCGTACATTTGATTATAATAGTTTAGGCGAGATTATCAAACGTTTTATCGTCGATTCCAGTACTTGTTTAAAAATTTCAAAAGCTGTACTTGCTGTATGTGGTCCAATATATAATAAGAGACGAAGTAACGATCCGAATAATGTTGTGATGAGAGATGGTAGTCGATGGCTTCATCAACATGCTGATCAGGTAGAAATTGAGAGTGGTATGGAACGAGGTTCACTATTGTTCTTAAATGATTTTGAAGCTATTGGTTACTCAGTTGCCGCCTTACATGATCAGAAGTCATCGGCATCATGCAAACCAGAAAACATTATTGTTTTACATTCGGGAGAAGTCAAATATAGCGCACCATGTGCATGTTTAGGTGCTGGAACTGGTTTAGGTGCCTGCTATCTCGTTCCACGTTTAGATACTCAACAGTATGCCGTTTATCCATCGGAAGCAGGCATGACACAAACATTTTGTCCTAAAAGTGATGACGAGTGGGCATTATTAAAATATATTAGAGAAAATTCAAATGATCCATTTCTAGAAATTGAACGATTTGTATCCGGACCAGCATTTGTAGAATTCATCGACTTTTTTTCCAAACACAAAAACATACAATTATTACCCACATTAGATCATGAATTAAAAAATGCATCAAAAGACGAAGGACCTGCAATTATAGCACAACATGCTCAACGTGGAGATGAATTGTGTCTGATGGTAGTGGACTTATTTTTAGATATATTTGGTCGTACACTAGGTACTGCAGCTCAAACATTTCTTCCCTATTCTGGTCTCTACATAGTTGGTGGAATATTACCAAAACTTGCATGGAGACTGAAAGACAGAAATTTAATTGTAAAATCGTATTTAGATCAAGGTGATAAAATGTCAGAAACTGTCGCTCGTATACCGTTGTTATTAATTGATGATGATGATTTAGGTTTGAAAGGATGTTTATATGCAGTGAGTACAAGTGGGATATTACTATCTCAAGATTGAACTCATTTTTACACAAAGATTGAATAACATATTATCTTATAGATAAGGAATAAATCTATGTAGAATGTATTTTTATTTTATATGGTAAAAAAATGTATAGTCGTTCTGTCTTATTCGTTTATAAAATCGAGTATAGAATACAGAATCTAATTTGACTCAACAATTATCTCATAATCAGTGGAAAATACTAACTCATCTAAGTTTTGGATTACTAAAACAAAGATGATAGATTATGTTGAAAAAACAAAAACCATTTTTGCATGATAAAACAAATAAGAATTGTGTTTTCAAAAAGAAGAAGAAAGTGTTTTCTCACGAACCTAATAGCAGGCGGACATCAGAAGTTTTAAATCGTTTTTTTATAGATAATTTATCATTCTTTAGTCATCTGCGACGCTTTTAAAAAAAATGAAAGTTTCAGAAAAAGTCATTTTTGTAGGTTCTTGGATAGTCCATAGATATTTTTTCCATTCAAAACTTATCGTGTTATATATGGTTCGATCCAGTTTAACGAGCTGATTCGAATATGCCATTCGTTTTTGTTACAAACGTCCCTATGCTGAAGATGACTGTTACAGTTTTCTTACATCGATCTTCGTAGTTGTGCTACAGGTTCATAAATAGTCCGGAGTGTGCTCTAAAAAATGGGAGTCAAGCGAGCTCTTTAAAATCCATGGTTCCAGAGATCCCTCCGTTTCCCCGAGGCACCCGAATTCATGCTTTCTCTCGCCTTGTGGCCTCGAAAATACATGTCAAATAGGTAATCAATGCCACTGATTATCGTGACAATGTTTGTTTCATGTTTGAAATCAATCCTGATTTATTCATGGTGTACCAGCACCTCAGATAAATGGTTTTATGCAGAAAACATGCTTTTCTTCTCAATTTTGTTTCGTTCTTCTCATTTCAATATCTTACAGTAAAGAAAAACGTTGGTGTTGGTGAAGAGATCCGCTGCCAAACGATCCATCAATGTCAGAAGTAATATCCCTTTAGCGCTAAAGTCAAGTGACTAGTCTTTGTGATACAATATTTTTCAATACCAAAGCGAAAAATAAGAATACACTCTGTTAGATCACGAGACTTAAGGGGGGGGTTGACCCCCCCATACATGTACCTTCAAACTTTGTCAGTTTAAAGAGGACACCTGGCTACATATATCCTTAAGTTCTTTCGATAAACTGATAAGTATTCGCAGAGTTATTAATTAATTAAGTTTAAATTTTAATGAAAATTTAAAGTCCTAGTCCTCATTTTAAAAAACTTGTAGCTTAGTCCAAAATAATCGTAGAAAAGTCATTTGCGCATTGCTTGATAGTCAATGGTCTGTTGTTATGGTTTAATGAAAACAAATTTGAAAAAAAAGCTTTTTTTGAGACAATAATTTATAATTTATCATACTAATGAATAATAATTAATATCACTCTGGTACCTTACAGTTTTATTTGCAAATTAATGATTTATTAGAAACGGTAAAGTAATATGTCATTCGACAGAGATTTCCAAGCCTAACAAAGCCTTGTGTTTATCTTTTCAAAAATATTACGCATAAGCAGTTATTTGTACTTAGTTTCAGGCAAACGGGGTTTCTACTATGCTTTCTCAATACAGCGGTCATGGATGTTTTTTAAATAACTCG